TCTCTCTCTCTCTCTCTCTCTCTCTCTCTCTCTCTCTCTCTCTCTCTGGTGCTCTCTTCTGCACGACGATCTTTAACCCAGATCTTCCTTTATCACTTCTTCAACTATTCTTCATTTGGACCTTAAAGTTTCTTCTGTTTCTTCTTCTCTGTAGATAGTAACAACTCCAGTGTTATTATTTCATTATTTTATTCACAACTCCCTGTATTTTATCCACTTCACATCGATAACGCGTCTTTCATTAGTCTTCTAATTTTCGGCTTCTTCTGTTTCAGTATCCCTCTTGACGAGAAGTCGTGGAACCGAAGATGATTACGTCGGAAGGAAGAAGTCGGAAAAAGAAGAGATGAAGAGGCGCGCAGAAGGGCCCGCCAGACTGATCCTGAACCCTCGATCGTTTTTCGGACGACTGAGCCACTTCGTTCCATCGACAGAGCCTTTTATACCTTCTTGTGGTAGCCTTCCGCGGCGTTCTATCGCACGTGGGATCTCCTTTTGATGGAAGTCTTTACTGTACTACTACGAAGAGTCTCGTATTATTTACGAAACATATATTTCTCGAAATAACGTATCAACGTTCACTCTTCCGAGTCATACGATAGGTAAATATTCGTTTGAACGATAGCAATTTTTCCAAGTAATTTTTAATCGAAGGTTTCACCTCCGAGACGTTCTAATTGTTGTACTTCTGCTTTCAGGTTTTTAGTTCGCAGCTTGGAATCTCCTTTCGATCGAAGTCAAACTTACTGTACTCCTACGAAGCATTTCGTATTATCTACGAAACATATATTTCTAGAAGTAACATATCAAAATTCACTCTTCCGACTCGTACGAGAGGTAAATAATAAATATTCGTTTGAACGATAGCAATTTTTCCTTTTAATTGAAGGTTTCACTTCTCGAAACGTTCTAATTATTCCATTTCTGCTTTCAGGTTTTTAATTCGCAGCTTCACCAAACATCAAAGAAATGAAACATAAAGGTGAATTCTACAAGAAAATTCGAGATTTAATCCAATATAAAATTCACGATAACAATGTTTATTTTTAATCGCGCACCTATTAAGGTTCAGAAATAATTAGTTTACGTAACGATAGTAGACTGTTACGCCGAGAGATCGTTCGAGCGTTTGTAAAACGTCGCTCAGGCCACGGATGCACCGCGAGGCGATTCAAACGTCGATGAATATTTTGTCAGTTCGAAACTGTATACCTGGCCTCTCAGGCGAACGTCGATCGTCGGATTTTTCCGGTCAGAATTCTGTACGGGCCGAGAAACAATTTCCAAGTCCTTGCTCTGCATATCTCTCGTTCCATCGCGAATAGTTCTGCGTCTGCTTACCCTCCTTGCTTTACCTTTCCCAGCTTTACTTTTATCGACTCGAGTTATCTGTTTCCGACTGTTTCCATCTGGCCTCTCCAGGCTTTTCCACGTTTATTTTCCCCCTCAATCCCTCTAATATACGCTTAGGATACATCTGAACGGTTAGTCCACGATTTTCACTAACTTTTATTTTACCTAGACGAATCAAAGCTGAGAGACAATCTGCCTCATTCTTTTTCATTGTATCGTTCGTTGGTTTTAGCATTCAAATGCTCTACTATTTGGAAACATTGTTTGTGATGTATCCATCTAAACATTGCGAACAGTTTTGTCCCTGTTCAGTTTTCGCGTACGTCTCGTCCTCCGAGAATACGTTTGGAATTTGAATTTTAAACAGGACTCGAGTAAATGCAAGATTCGATGTTGTTTCGGGAGTCTGAGGTCAACGGGAATTTATTTCGAATACGAGGAAGTTGGGAACGATACTGTTCTCAGAAATATAAGTGTAGTCTGATTTTGTAATTGTAGTCTTGATTTGAATTTTAGTCGCTTTTGTAATTCTAAAATTTAAAGCGAAGGGAGCTTTTCAATCGCGATACAGACGACGCATTTTTGCTTTCCTTTATTGTTGCCTGGTATAAATTATACAAGAAGTAACAAGTC